AGGTGGGTGAATGGGGATAGATGGGTGGATTGGTGAATGGATGAATGGGTGGGTAGGTGGATGGGTGGATGGATGGGTAGGTGGGTGAGTGGGTGGGTGGATGAATGGATGGATGGGTGGGTGGGTGGGTGGATGGATGGATGGATGGGTCGGTGGGTGGGTGGATGAATGGATGGATGGGTGGGTGGGTGGGTGGATGGATGGATGGGTGGGTGAGTGGGTAGGTGAGTGGATGGATAGGTGGGTGGGTGGGTGGATGGATGGGTGGGTGGGTGGCTGGACGGGTGAATGGATGGGTAGGTAGGTGGACGGGTGGATAGATGGGTGGATGGATGGATGGTAGATGGATGAATGGATGGGTGGGTAGGTGGATGGGTGGATGGATGGATGGATGAATGGTGGATAGATGAATGGATGGATGGGTGGATGGGTGGATAGATGGGTGGATGGATGGATGGTGGATGAATGGATGGGTAGGTAGGTGGACGGGTGGATAGATGGGTGGATGGATGGATGGATGGGTGGATAGATGGAAGGATGATGGATGGATGGGTGGGTGGGTGGGTGGGTGTGTGGATGAAGATAAAATTCCTACTGTCCAGGCTATCAGTGGTCCTGGCTGTAAGCACAGAGTTCTTTTGTTAACTTATAAGACACCAGTGACCAGTGTGGAGTGACTTGTGTCCAGCTTCCCACAGAATACTCCTGCAGCAGCTTTTGAAAGAAAGCATAAAAATAGATCATTTGGAAGAATGCCAGTGACCCCTTCTCACCCTCATTCTGGTACAGGAAGTGGAGGAAGTGGAAGCAGAGAGAAGAGTGCAGACATTCCTGAGATCCCAAGAGGCTGGGCATATGCCCCCTTTCCCCCAGTTCCCGCCTGGCTTGGAAGGGAGGCTAGGCAGAGTTCTCTGCACTCCTAAACCACAGGGCACCAAGGACACTAATGGGCTTGGAGGAAAAGCCAGAAAGTGGGGTTATCTTGGAATTCCAAACATGATATTATCCCCTCTTGCCCTTCCTCTGCATTTGACCAGCAGGGGAAAATGTGAGTGTGTGGATAAAAAAAAAGCAAAAAAAAAAAAAAATGACGCTGTCAAGAAGATTGGCAGCAGCTAAATGGTGTCTGGGCAGGACCCCATCAGGCCTCTCCCTGCCACAGACACTCACTTTAACAGAGAAGGACTTCATGCCTCAGGAAGGCAGGGTCTGGAAGGACTGGGGCTGCCCTATAGACACTCTGAGTAGTTGCTTCTAAACCAGTTGCCCCTTCTGTGATATCTGTAGGTCCCTTTCTCTGAAGGACAAGGCTGCTACCATCCTGGCTGGTGTCATTTCACCAGCAGTGTTACTGTGACCCTCATGTTGAAGTTAAAGAACAATGGCTACAACTCCGTCTGCTGTTCTTATGAGCGGATTTCTAGAAACCTATGCAGAAGGGTCTGAAGACCTCTGCTTGACTGGAGCCTCTTATCAGTTCCTTGAGTAAGATTTCAGCATACTCCCAAGGTCTGTGGGATTTCTGTCCCATGCACTGCACTGTCAGCAAGGACAGAACACAGGAGAACTTTTGAAGGTGTCTCAGAGGAAGCCTCTGAAGATGGCTGCTCTGTTCCTGCACTGTGTAGGTGCCCTGCAAACTGGTACCTTCACCAATGTCTTTTTGGTGTCCGCATTTGATCGTCATCCTGCTGACTTAAAGAAGCAACTGGCAGTCCTGACTCTGTGAATGTGGAGGTTCAGATAGAAAGTGAAGTCACTGGCGTGATGCTTTTGCTTGTTGGCTGGCATGCATTCCCGAGTGCAGGCAAGGGAAAGGGATCTGCAGCAGAAATTGTACCAAGTGCCTGGGGGTCCCTGACCAAGAGCTTAGCGTAAACATAATGCTAAGGCAGCTGTTTCTGGAAAGAAAGAGTTAAGTACTAACACAAGGCCTGGGACTAGAGGGAACCAACCATGCTGCCACAGTGCCCCCAGAGTTGGTGCTGTTGAATGATAAACAAAGCCACTTTCATGGGAAGTGCTGGGCTTGCTGTTTTCTGGGAAAACACGATGATAACAGGAACAAAGTGGGGTTTGATTTCCCTCCGCCTGCTTTCACTTGAAGGGAGTCGTTGGCGCCATGTAAGCATATTCAGGGCTTCCGAATCTTGGCATGGGTTCCCTGCATCCTCAAGGCTAAGGAACTCAGCAAGCAGAGGCAGGAGCGGTGAGGATTGTCCTGTGCTGTGTGGGGCCTCCGGGAGCAGCTGGGTCACAGGGACCGATGCTGAATGCTGCACTCCATCCCCTGCTGGCCGCTGTGTTTGATTTTACCGACGAACAGCTCTAAAGATTCCAGAGATCTGTGCTGCTCCTGGGAACTGGATCCTAGGGATAACGCACACCTCCTTCCAGCCTCCAGCCAGACTCTAACGGAAGTTCCACAGCATGCTCAGGACTCTAGCCCCTCCTTCTCATCTATCCGGATGTTCATCCATCCATGCATTCATAGTATGCATGTCCAGAACCTCATCTGTGTGCCACCAGTGGAGGGTGGGGACAGCTCCTCCCCATGGACAGCAGGCCAGGGGTTGCTGTTCTCCAAGCCTATGGTACCTACTTGTAGCTCACTATCCTTCTTGGATGTAATCAAATGGCGCCTCTGCTATGTTGTGATTTAAATGTGAATTCTGTGGTCCCCCCCCCCAATCCCCATCCCCCACTCACATGCCATGCTCCTGTGTTTGTGCACACTTTATCCCCAGCTGTTTTTATTGTTCTGGAAGGTGATGGAAGCTGTAGGAGGTAGAATCTCACTGGAGGAAATGGATCAGGAGGGGCGGGACTTGAGGTTTTATAGCTCAGCCGTGTTTCCTGCCTACGCCTTGCTTCCTTAGTGTAGACATATGTAGACATACCAGCTGTCTCATTCTCCTGCTTCCTTGCCTGCTCCACCATGGTGGGCTGTATCTCCTGAAGCTGTCAGCAAAAATGAACTGTTCCTGCCTTAACAGCCGCAAGTGGAGTAACCGATAAACTGTAGAAGGCATCCAGGCTTCCTCTAGACAGAACGGAGCCGTCCACGGTCCCCCTGGAAGCCACAGACTCCACCTCCCTCCAGGCCTTGTTCTCTGACAGATGGTGATCTCTGGAGGGCAGGACCATGCTGGTGTTATTACTACCATGTTCTGGTTTCCTTCTTTGCATGGGTGTGAATGAAGCTAAGTCACCACCTGGAAGGCAGCGAGGGGAGGGATGGTCTAACCATTGTGTGCATTTGTTTATCCACGCAGCTGTCACTGAAAATTTAAAGGATGGGCTTGGAAGACCATGCGGTTAGTTAACTAGCGCACCAAACATCTATTTTGTAAATGTTTGTTATGGATTGTACTGGGGGAGTGGGGATAAGGAGACTATACCAGTCCCAAGGATGTACAGATAAATCCCAGAAGACAGGGACATTCACCCTGTGATTTATTCAAATATCACATCAGTTCTGGGTTTTCCTATACTGAGAATTTTAATAAGAGCTGAAAAATACAGCCCAAGAGTTAGTGGCCCATCATGGCCCAATGAGCAAGGCCCAGCATTTAAGATTTTGTTCTGGTTTTCCCAAGGTTTTGCCGTACTAACTAGCTGTCAGCTCTTTTCATTTATCCTATTCTGGTATCCATGGTAATTTTCTTCTAACTTGAGGTTTGACTTCTTTGGTATTTTGGTAAATTCTCAGTAAATGTCTTTTCCAGCGTGGCTTCTGCTTCTGCCCACTCCCTGTAGGTCTCATGTAGTAGAAGCTTTCTTCCTGGCCCCGTCTCTCTGGCTGAGTTTGTCTTTTCCGTCCTTGCTTCAGTGTTTCCCTGCAAGCTTCCTCCTCACCCCAGGTTTGCTCTCCCCTCTGCTGTGTCCAGTTCACTGCTGAAGTCCCTAGCCCCCTGCGTATTTTAGTTGTTCAGCTTTTAATTTCTAGAGCTTCCATTAGACTCTCCTTAATTACCCTTTGGTGAAATGTGAATTTCTCTATTTTATGTTTCTTTGTAGCCTCTGTGTTTTAACTTCAAATTTAAAACCAGCTATGTCTCTTGCTTGGTGAGGTTTTGTTCCGTTTTGTTTGGGAGGGTGGTAATTTGGTTGTTATTTTTTTCTTTCACTTATCATACTCTTCATATTTCCTGACAATATTTTAATTAGGATTTTAAGATTGTATCAAAATTAAGGTGAGATGGAGTGGGAGGCAGGTTTGAATGTTGGGATATTCCTCAGAGAAGATACAGTTTTAAGTAGGCTACATGAAAGCTTTCGTATCCTGTCTCTGGTGCCCTGGGGCATAGGGCATTGAAAGCTTTTGTCACTGGCCAGGGTCATGCTTCCTGAGTATTTCCCACACTTAGGTTTTTGTTACTATTCAGAAGAAACTGCCCAAGGCCCCAGGAGCCACTTGTGCCAACCCCCGAGGCTTAGGACTGAGGTATACCTGACTTGTTCCAAGTCTCCTTTCTCTATGACTTTGGCCTTCTTGGTCAATTCTGAACCTGCATCTTCATCTCCCAAGAACAGCGTGTAGCAGATCAGAACCATAGCCTATGGTCTGTGGACATGCAGCCCCAGAGTCACTAATATGGGAGGGTAGGAAGCAGAAAGAAAGGTAAGCATGCCAGACGGCAGCTCTGCAGACCTGTGCTCAAGGGAAGAGAGAGAAGAGAGCATCTCGTGGAAAAAGACCCCTTCTGGTTTACAGGGTGGGCGGAACATACATGAGCAACCAGCTCAAGATGGACAGTGCAGATGGAGACTGAGTCAGCTGTTTTCTCCTTTGGTAACAGTGATGGGTTATAATATACACAGAGTAGCACAAAGCCACCCTTCCAGCCTCCTGTGCTACTGCTGCCATGGTTCACTGTGGCCATGGGCAACAGAAAAGCTTCAAAAACCAGCTGATTATGGACACAGGAAAGGGCTGAGATTGTGACATTGTGACTCACATAATCAGGGTCTCTCTGCTTTCTGTTTCCTTTCTTCAGAACCACGAGGCTGCCCAGAGATTATCAGCCACACCGTGGGGATGTCAGAGAGCCCCATCGGACCCAAACCCACCATGCTCCGGGCGGATATGCCCGCCACACCCAACTTCCAGCAAATGTTCGCGTCCTCCTGTACAGTGTCCAGTAATGGACCTGGCCAGAGGAGAGAGAGGTAGGAAGAAGGGATTTTACCCTGTTAGAAGTTCCCCTCCGAGGCCAGAGCACCACACTGAGAGTAGAAAGGAAAGACTGGGAAAAGCAGGGCCCAACAGTGAGACTCCACTCAGTCATGGTGGAGAAGAGCCCGTGCCCCAGACTGTGTGCAGGACACCGCTACTCATGGAACTTGCTCTTGTGCACTGGCCCTGGAAATATACATGAGCACATAGGAAAACATCACAAAAAGCTTTGCAAAATATGGAAAGAAAAGGGCCGTGGTAGCCAAACTGTCCTCTTTTGTTTTAAAAAGAAAACCAGTAAGGCCAACCACTACTTTGGCCCAAAGTAAAACTAAACTCCCCCATGTCTCTTGTATAGGTTTCCAGTTTCCTTTCCCATTGAAATAAAAAGAGTCAGCTGGGCAGTGGAGGTGCACGCCTTTAATCCCAGTACTTGGGAGGCAGAGGCAGGCTGTGAGTTCGAGGCCAGCCAGGTCTACAAAGTGAGTTCTAAGACAGCCAGGACTATACAGAGAAACCCTGTCCCGAAAAATCAATGGAAAAAATATGATAAATAGATAGATAAATAGAATAGATTTTGAAAAGTTAAAAATTAAAATGACTATCACACATAGAATCTGCACCTAGTGTATATCAATTTAACTGTGTTTATATTACAAGAACTATATTTTTAATGACTTTCCTAGGTTCCTGAATGTAGTAGTTCCCAGTCAAGTTGTCCCCCTGTTTGCAGGAGATACAGTCTGGGGACTGGTTGATGCCTGAGATCCTAGACAGGATGAAACCCTTTACATAATACGTTTTTCTAAAGCATTCATACCTATTCATGCCTTTTCTCAAAGGAAATGCATTACAGATTCCCATGGGCACAACCAGTCAGCCAGCATCTTCTCTTGTTCTTTGGGACTATCTTTATTTTTTAATGTTTATTTATTTTTATTGAATGACTGTTTCATCTGCATGTATATCTGTTTACCACTATATGCCTGGTCCCTGTGGGGGTCAGAAGAGGGCATCAGATCCTCTGGAATAGGAGTTACAAGCAGTCGTGAACCACTGTGTGGGTGCTGGGAATCAAACTTAGTCCTCTGTAAGAGCCGCCAGCTCTTAACCACCAAGCCATCTCTCCAGCCCCTTTGGGGCCATTTTTAAGTAACCTGAGAGTTAAGTGAATGCAAACACCACACCAGCCAGTCATATGACTACTGACTAAGAGTGGGTAGCATATACCACATGGATACGCTGAATCAGGGAAGGTATACAACCTGAACATGATGGAGTAGGGTAGCTTATAACTCACCGTTCCACTAAGAGTGACGTTTAAGATCTAGCAATTATTTATTCCTGGAATTTTCAGTTTAAGACCAAGGTTGACCCATGTCACTGACACACATCTAAGGGATGGGGATACTGCCTCTTTTCTGCTGCCCAACAAGCCTCAGTGTCGAATTCCCCAGCCCCATCTTCTCTATGTCTTGGAATGGTTGCTGATTTCGAGGTAACCGTAAGTCCCTTACGTTCCCTCATGGCTATTTTTGTCTTTTGAACAGCCCGTCTTCTGCAGAACGCCAGTGGGTAGAGAGCAGCCCCAAGTCCACCCTAACCCTATTGGGGAACAGCCACCCTTCTGAAAGTTCTCTCAGCACCCATGAATTCTGCAGCGCTGGCAAGGACTCGCCAGGGCTGCCCTGCTTCCAGTCCTCAGAGCTCCAGGCCTCTTTCCACAGCCATGAGCTGTCCATGGCAGAGCCTCAGGATGCTCTGCCCCCTGCAGGCAGCCAGGCCTTCTTAGGCTTCAGCACTGCCCAGGTAGCAAGTGGCCTTCCACCCAGCGAGGACCCTGGTGCCCTGCTGGTCAATTCCCACGGCACATCTCCAGTTCCTGGAACCTCTCTGCCAACGGCAGGCACTCCTGACAACGGCTTCCTGTCCCACAACTTTCTCACGGTGTCACCTGGACTCAGCAGCCATCATAGTCCAGGCCTGCAGAACCAGGGGGTAAGCCTGCCTGGGCAGCCACCCCTTCCCGAGAAGAAGAGAGCCTCAGAGGGTGACCGTTCCTTGGGCTCAGTCTCCCCTTCCTCCAGTGGCTTCTCCAGCCCCCACAGTGGGAGCACGATGAGCATCCCCTTCCCGAATGTCCTTCCAGACTTCTGCAAGCCTTCAGAAGTGGCCTCACCTTTGCCAGGTACGTCTCCGCCTCTGCCCGTTCCCTTAGGGAAGGAGGGCTCTGTCTGGGGTTTCTTATTTGAGCGTATCTCCAGGGTTAACTCATGTTCTGCAGGAACAGGTTAGATTCCCATGGCTCTTTCTCATACTGCTGGTCTAAAGCTTCAGCCACAGTGCTTCGAGGAGATGTGCTCCACTTCCTCCTGGGCCCACTGTAGACACATTCCAGCAGTAGACAGTGCAGATGTCGCAATAGTTCTGGCTTCACTTTGACCTGAAAATAGAGATATCCTTGAAAGTTACTTTCTTTTTCCCAGTTAAATAATTAATCGAATTGAGTTCTGAACTGTTTCAAGTGTTTGACACCAGGCTTGCTTCTGGGGCCTCCTTTCTGGGATTGGAAGCATCTGTGTCTTGCACTGCGCCACGGGGCCATGAGGCACTGGTGTACCGTACTGTTGAGTCCTTGGATCTGCGTTTCCTTCCCCGCTTAGGACCCACGTGCCTATCCCTCCCACCTAGGATTTAGATTTGCATCCTCGTCATAAATGAGACAGCAATAAAAAATATTCTGTATGATAATTTTGCCTCGCAGATAGCCCAAATGATAAACTCGTGATTGTGAAGTTTGTCCAGGACACTTCCAAGTTCTGGTACAAGGCAGATATCTCCAGAGAACAAGGTAGGTGGGGACCAGAGACCTCTTGCAGCATCAGCTGTCTTTGGTCTCTGGGTCTTTCTATTAGGAACTCCTGCGGTACGGATCTAATTAGAGCAAAATACACCTTTCTTATAGGCCTCTGGGGAAAATTTCACAACCTTCACATTTTTGTGAGAAAAATTCAGTACCAGTTAGGATTTGGATGAGAAGTGGGTTCAGCCATAGACATGCAATGTATGGAATGTGAACACTGGCTGTTTCCCTAAGCTCACCAGCCATGCCAGCCCAACACTTCTTGGAGGAAGAGACATTCTGTTTAGGTCTCTACTAAGGATTCCTCAGAGCATTGCAGAAAGAGGGCCATGGAGGAGAGAGATGCACTGTGGGACAGTCAGCTTGGTGGCTACAGGCCGTGAAGGGGAGTGGGGTGTTTGGAGCTCTATCACAAGCTTCCTGTGGCCTGCCTGGTTGTCCCGGTACACAAGGAGCTCACGGGCCCTCCATCTCTCGGAAAGTCGAGTCTTCTCCTTGAGGTTCTGCCATTAGATCTTAGAGATGATAGAGACAGAGACCCTAGGCCTTCCTGTGGGTTCAAGGAAGCTGTTGTCATTTTAAATGGAAAGGAAGTGGGGAAAACAATCAGGGCCTGGGAAGACTTCCATTTCCCTGAGGCTACCTTTGTAAGAGCTGCTTAACAAGTCCAAGGGCTCCACAGAGCAGCCCCTGCTGCCGGTGTCCTGTGCCCTCCTGGCTCCTGTTTCCCTGTGCCGCAGCACGGATGGAGAGAAGACAGCATTTTTCTTACTTGGTGTTTATCTGCCAGGCAGAACCCCCACTGGCCCCAGTTGCAGAAACAGCTGGAAGAAGGGACAGTCTTAGTCCATCTTCTGTGGCTGTCAAGAGCCCCTGAGGTTTGGTTGACTTATAAGGAGTAGGAGTCCCGGAGGTAGGGCACTTCAAGCGTATCAGCACCGGTTTCACACTGATGAATAGAGGAGCACATACGTCCGTGCAGAAGAGAGGGGACGTCAATGGCCACCTTGCTTTGTCACAGTTCACCTTCTAGCAGCTGAGCCATCCCTTGGGACCCCAAGAGGACGGTTGTATTGAGCATCGGGGCTCAGCTGTCAGTGTGATTTTTCATAGGGGGAGCCATCTTAGGGTCCAAGTGGGCAGTGGCCTTTGTTCCCTGCAGTCATCCATGCCTTTCCCTCCTCCAGCCATCGCCATGTTGAAGGACAAAGCTCCTGGGTCATTCATCGTGAGGGACAGTCACTCCTTCCGAGGGGCCTACGGCCTGGCCATGAAGGTGGCCACACCCCCTCCTTCTGTCTTGCACCTGAACAAGAAAGGTAAGGTTTGGTGGACTAGCTGGGGTTTGTACGTGCTTTGTTTTGAGGTGAAAACAGTGACAGAGAGTGGCAGCTGCTTGCACTGGTCCCTTTAGGGTTTGCTTTAGAAGGTTATTTCCTTAGGTAGTTATCTTATTTAAGAGCACGCATTATTTATACATTTTATCTTCCTTTGTTTTAAGCAAGTTAGTGTTTTCCATAATACAGCCAAGCCAAGAACCCAGGAAGGCTCCCTGTTTCCCTGTCAGCCCTTCCTTCTTTGGGTGACCACATGGAAGACATTACTGCTTGACTTATCACTCACGGGCAGACTCATCTCCGAAATGATTATTTTTTTCTATTTTTAACTTGCATTGTGAAAACGAATGTACTTGTTCTTATGTGTCTCGGTTTGAATCAGAACCCTGAGCCACTGACGTCTGAGATTATAGCTTTTATTCTCTTTCAGAGATGTCTTTTTTTAATTATTATTTTTTAAACTTTTATTTTTATTTCTTTAGTCTTATTTAGGATAGAGTGTTCTGCTGGCATGTGTGCCCACTGGCTAGAAGAGGGCACCAGGTCTCACTATAGATGGTGTGAGCGTTCATGTGGATGCTGGGAATTGAACTCAGATCCTCTGGAAGGGCAGGCAGCCAGTACTCTTAACCTCTGAGTCATCTTTCCAGCCACTCTGTTTTGTTTTACAAATATATCGTAATATATTTTCCATTGTTGGTCGACTTTTTCATTGTTTTGCTTGTCTACCCCCTTTGCCCCTATAAATAACCATCTTTACCACATATCACCAACCCTGGCAAGGAAAAGGTCTTCTTTGCCTTCTCTTTACCACCCAAATGGTCATTTTGGACTGGGGGAAAGAGCAGCCTCAGGTCATGAGGAGTATGTGTGGTAGAAGCCCTGTGACAAGATGCCAGAGGTAATTTTCATGAGATAAGGTTTGCTGTGGCCCACGGGTTTAGATGGTTCAGCCCATTTGGTTGGCTCTGGTACCAGGCCAGTGATACTCATCATGATAGCATGCTTGTGCCTAAGGGAGTACGCACTCACTCTCCGCCTGCAGGGTGAAAGGGAGAGGCTGAGGAGGAAGCTAGATTTTACCACTTCCTTTGAGGGTATGCCCTCAGTGACCCTAAGACCTTCCCACACCTTCTCATGGTCTCTGCTGACCACTAGAATGCTTGTCCGAGAGCTGAGCCTTTGCCACATGGATCTATGGTAAGGGACATTGATTGCGTTAGCGGGCCAGAGGAATCAGAAACAGCACAGTTGAGGTGCCTCCTGCACATATGACAGGCGGGTGCCTGCTTTCCCACTCCATGTCTGGATCTGAGAAAATTCGTCCAAATCCTTGCATGAAATCTGTGCTGAAAGCTTCCTGGAGCAAACAGCTTCGAGCTGTCCCAAGAATATAAGATGTGGTTGCAGATGGGCCAGCCTCCGGCATGGGTAGCTGACCTGCTTTCTGGAATGTGCTTGTCCTGCATGGCTAGGGAGTGAGGTTAGGAGGCACTTGGGGCTCAGTCAGAGAGGCTCCCCCCTAAACCTGTGGGTGTTGGCAGGGCTTCTGGTGAGGGAACAGGATAAGTGAGATCACACAAATGTGGCCTCAAAGAACATCTAGGATTTCTATCATAAGATGCTTAACAGAATGTTATTATTGGGTGAAAATACAGGCCTTCATCACCGAGCGCTCACTCCAATGTGGCTGCTGAGGACTGCCAGGTTTTACTTGGGAGCGTTGCTTAGGGACATACCAGGGAAAGTCAGTTAAAGTCTGGGAACGTATCCTGCCTTGGGCCAACTTTATCCTAAGTCCGAGGATAAAGGAACTTATCAAGGCTATGTGAGTAGCAATGTCAGCATGGTGGTCTCCATGGTGGAGATGGATGCAGTCTCGCCTCTGAATGTGCACCCAGGTATTTGATATTTGCATTTTGCAGTCCAAGGATAGATTTGAAAGAAGAGTTTACCAAATGAGTGAAGAGCCAGTAGTCACTGTGCCTTCTCCAATCATCCTGAGATGAGACAGTTGAGGTCATTCTAGACTCTGCATTCCAAAAAGTCCTTGGCAGCAGGATCTGCATGGGGCCATTTCCACAAGTAAAATCCAGACCTTCAGTGGGTGTTTCCATTAGACTGGAAGTCCTGCATCTTCTCCTCCCAGAGGATGGATTATGTGTCTATTTCCTCCTTTTTATTGGATGTGGACTTTAATGGGATCACATGATTCCCTTCTCTGCAAGCTTGACTGTCCCTAGAAAATGCTGACATGCTGGATACATCATCATCATCATCATCATCATCATCATTATACATTATTATTGTTTATAAAACAGCATTTGGAGCCTAATTCCAGCTCGGTATCCCTCACCATAGTGATCCCAAGTGTCTGTGGTTTCTGATCAGTTTCAGATTTCAAAGTATTCATTCGTGCGTAATGAGTGAGATACCTTGGGAATGAGGCTCAAGTCCTTACTTTTTATTATTACTTTATTATTTTATTTATATGGTGGTTTTTCTGTACATGTGTCTGTATAGTGTGTACATTTCTGGTGCCCATGGGGAGCAGAAGGAGGGTGTCTGATATCCTGAAACTAGAGTTACAGACAGTTGTGTGCTGCCATGTGGGTGCTGAGAATTGGACCTGGGAGACCCAAAACCTTAACATTAAATTCGTTTACCTTTTTGTATAGAATTCATGCATACTTCATACATAATGAAGGTACCGTCATACAATATTTTCTATTAGTTTGTACATGAATTGAACTTTTCATGGTATGGAATCTAGCATTTATGGCTTCATACTGGTGCTCCAAATCTTCCAGGTTTTGGATTTGGGACCAGGGATCTTCCGCCTCGTCAGGCAACCCCTCCAAGCACAAATCCAGCAGATCTTGCTCCCATGAGGTTTCAGTAGCAGCAATATTGAGAGGTCACCTCTTATGGAGGGTGGTAAAGGCTGCAGTAGAAGAGAGAGACACAGCACATGGGGTGTCTATAGACGTGAGCAGCTTCGAAAACTTCTGTTTCTCGTGGTTCCGCTTGTACTTTTCCATCTTCAGAACATTTTCCATTCGGTGGCTTCTCCTGGTGCCTCTTCTCTTTGGGTTCAGCAGCTGGCGTGAAAACAAGTGTTCTGTTTGCTATCAGTAGAGTGGAATGCTGCTCCCACAGAGCAGAATACTTGGTGCTGAAGGCGTTTCTGTATCCAGCTGTCACTCCACCTCACCCAGAGCGCTGGTATCCTTCCAGCTCTTTGCTCACGTCTTTTCTGCCCTAACCTCAGTGCCCTTTTCTCCCAGAGGAACATAGCAAGGGCTTCAAAGCCAGTGTCATTCTGAGCTGCTAATCCATCCCTTCTCTGGGAGTTCTTGTAATGTTTGAGGGTGTCTCTGGGGGATTCTTGTAGTGTCTGCGTTGCTACTCCAAGAGGTTTTACTATCCACCTCTCTTATCACACTGCCCACCGACCGTCCCAAGGGTGCTTCTAGGTAGCCCCATAGTGCAGCAGTTTAGTCCTGTTCAGAGGGAGCCTTCTTAGGTGTAGCTCTTAGCTTTTGTATCTGCAGGAGGCACCTTTTTATCTGTTTGTCTGTCCAACCATTCACCATCTATCCATCGCTGTCCTGTTTTCCCTCTTCCTAACCTTTCCCCCTACTCTGATGTTTTAAATTTTAAAAAGTATTATTTTTTTTTTGTTCTTTCCACAGCCGGAGATTTGTCCAATGAACTTGTCCGGCATTTCTTGATTGAGTGTACTCCAAAGGGCGTGCGGTTGAAAGGGTGCTCCAACGAACCTTATTTTGGTGAGTTACTTGAGACGCTCTCTTGATGCTTACCAGGGCATGGATCCCCTGCTTCAGGTGGCTTGAGATCCGAGGGCCTCTCTGCCATGGTGGGTTACTCATTTCAGCCCCCAGGTCTACGGCTGCTGCCATTTGAAGTCTTGTATTTAAGATAAGCTGAAAGTGTAATTGTCTTCAAAACCCTTGTCAAACCCAAATCAATGGAAAGGACCTCCCAGAGCTAGAATAAGACAAGCGAACAAGTACGGTGAAAGTCAACTGATGGGTCCTATCAGGGTTGGAGCCCAGTGTGTCCCCATCCCGCAGGCACAAGGAAGAACACAGAGCCACCACCAGAGCCTTCCCCCACCTTTGTAAACAAGAGCCTTTCATAATCTTCTGGATAGACTGGGCAACTTCGTATCCTCCTCCTTAAGAAGCATGGGCAATTCATACTTACTAAGGCGACGGATGTGCTGGGAATATACCGCAAGTCCCTTGATCAACCTCTTTACTTATCATTTCTGGGAGTTTTGGGTCACATCATCCCAGAGTGGTCTAAAGGCTCGGCTTTGGGAGTTTGGTCTCAACAGATTCGCTGGCTCAGCACACAGCAGGTGAAGAACTTGGGGATGTTATGTTCATTTGCTCTTTTCCCTGCAGGGAGCCTGACAGCTTTGGTGTGCCAGCATTCCATTACGCCCTTGGCTTTGCCCTGCAAGCTGCTCATTCCAGAGAGAGGTATGCCGTGGACGGCTGAGTGTAGACGGGCCGGGCCCTGTGTAGAGGGGCCGTGTGTAGAGGGGCCAGGTGTAGGCTCTGCAGCATTATTCACAGCATGCTGCTCCCAGGACCCGTGGAGAGCCTTAAAAAATAGTTAGATGAGGATTCTTTAATGACAAGTGCTCTACATAAACCTCAAAGAAGGCAGGTGGCCGCCTGAACTAAGAAGGGAGAAGGCCCTGCTGAAAACAACAGCTCCAAGACATTACACATGGGAAGGCTTCTAGAAAACAAAGACTCTTCAGCTTAAAGATGTAAGACACTGGGGGACCTGGAGAGATGGCTCAGTGGTTAAAGCGCTGACTGCTCTTCCAGAGAATCCAGGTTCAATTCCCAGCATTCATGTCAGGTGGAGCATCTATAGCTCCCATCTCAGGGGATCTGGCCTTTTCTGGCCTCCTTGGGTACCAGGCATTCATGAGGTTCACAGACATACATGAATGTAAAATAAATAAATATGTATATGCATATATAGTTAATTTATATACGCATGTGTGTATACGTGTGTGTATACACACACACATATATATTCTCAGATTAATTTTTTTTTTTTTTTTGCTTTTTCGAGACAGGGTTTATCTGTGGTTTTGGAGCCTGTCCTAGAACTAGCTCTTGTAGACCAGGCTGGTCTCGAACTTACAGAGATCCGCCTGCCTCTGCCTCCCAAGTGCTGGGATTAAAGGCGTGCACCACCACTGCCCGACTCAGATTAATTTTCAAAGTCACTTGCATTATAGATTTACAGACCTACAAAATGGGACATATGCTGCTATGCTTAAATTTAGGTCATGAATAAACAAGTTTTTAACTTCTATATTTGTCAAAAAACACCCAGGATAATATTTAGAAATATCCAGGGGATATGTGAGTTGACTCTGTATTCCAGCTTTCCTGGAAGTAATGGGGTTTTTCTTTCAAATTTTCATCATTTATGTAAGTGAATTCAGAGACCAGAAAAATTGTTTCCGGGGAGGGCATGTACCCCCCTCTGTCCCTGGTGGGATGGCGGTTCTGTGGACTGGACTATTGAAAGTTAACGGTGCTGTCACCATCCGCAAAGTCTGTCATAAAGTTGTTCTTGCCGTGTGGACTACTGTGTCAGGAGCACTTGTTTTCTTTTCTTCCTGCAGATCCCATGGAGGAAATAGCAGAAAACTCTCCCCAGACAGCGGCCAACTCAGCAGCTGAATTGCTGAAGCAGGGGGCAGGTCAGTGGACACAGCCCTGTTCTCACTGTCTCTGTGCCTCTGAGTCTCTGGGCAGAACCGAACTCCATGCTAGGACTTCCCTCCGGACAGTCATTTCCTGCTTTTCTGTGAAGGAAGTTTCCTTTTATAGCCGCTTGGCATGGCTGGGTGGGGCACAGCTGTGAGGAGATGGGGTCAGGGCGTAAGAGGCTGGAGCTGTTTGTCTGACTCGAACAAGACCAGATTCAGTGGGATAAATGTCAAGTCCTGTGCTTAGTGTGGAGACGGAGGTGGGGGCACAGCATGGCAGGATGTGGGTGACCGCCTTGCTAGCTGAAAATGCAAAGATGTCCTGAAACTGTGACTCAACAGTCAGGCAACGTGAGTCAGCTGCTGGACTTGCTCTGCCGTCCCTGTGGTGAGACCAGGCTGCTCTGTGGAAATATCTTCATTAATAGGTTTTCCTCGATCCGTGACAGGAAGCTATAAAGGCATAGAGATCCCATATAAATGCTGTTTCTTCACTCCCAGATCCCACACCATGGTGCTACAGCTGATGAGCCGGTGTCCTTACAACATCAAGTAAAGTCCATAGCTTACTCAGAGCTCAGGCTTTTAAAATTTGTAATTTCTTAAAAACTTACATCATTTCTCTTCCTCCCTTCCCGTTCCTACTCCTTCCATGCCCCCACTCCCCATCATATTCTTGACCCCTACTTCTTTAGTTATTATTATCACACACACGTGCGCACACACACGTGCGCACACACACACACACACACACACACAAGTCAATTCAGTTTTGCTCATATACAGATGTATTTAGACCTGGCCATGTAGGGTTTAATAACTTATCAGGGCACCCATGCATGAAGAAAACTGACTCTCCTCTGTGGGCTCCTATTGATTGCTTCTAGTTTAAATTTCCCAGTGCCCCATCCAGAGATGGAGTTCACTTTGGAGTTCATGGGCTTAAGAAATATCTTTGGTATTCACTCATCAGTATAATGTCACACAAAGTATTTCCTTTGTCCTAAAATTCCCCTCTGCTCTCCCTACTTATTCCTCCCACATGGTTAAGACCCTCACTGCCACTGATCTTTTTATGCTCTCTCTAGTTTGGACTTTTCTAGAGTGACTTCTGCTGTAAACACAAGCTGTATTGCATTTTCAGATTGGTTTCCTTCACTTGGTAATATGCATTGAGATTCTTCCATGACTTTCATGGACTGGTGGCTTCTTTTATTGTGTGTAGTGCAGGAGCATATATATGTGTTTGTACGAATACATGTGGGTGCCTGAACATATGTATGCACATGTGTTTCAAGGCATGGAACATGTGTTCCGTGTTGTATAGCTTTCTCAGTTACTCTATATTTTTGAAACAGTCTCTCACTGAACCTATAGCTCATTGGTCAATGGGTAGACCAGCTGGCCAACAAGCATCAAGGATCCATCGGTTTCTATCTCCCTAGTGCTAAGATTATAGTCCCAATCACTGCACCTAGCTTTTGTGTGCTTTCTGGGGACCTGAACTCAAATCCTCATGCTTGTAGCTTCCACGACAAGCATTTTTACCAACTAAGGTATCTTTCCAGCTCTGGGTGAGCCACAGATTATTTATCCACACAACTACTGAAGAATATCTAGTTGCTTCTAAATTTTGGCAAGTATGAATAGTTTCTAAAAAAAGGTTTCTGATCAATGTTTCCAATGTTTTTGATCAAATATGAAGGAGCCTGATTGCTAGATCATGTGGCAAAAGTATAGAAGTTTTTTTTTTACATAGTGGTTGTACCATTTTGCATTTCCACCAGCAGTTGGGAAACTTCCTTTTGCTCCACATTCTTACTACACGTGATGGCGTCACTCTGAAGGATGTGCTCATTCTGACAGAGGAACAGTGTGTCTCACTGTTTTGTATCTCTCTAAAGACTCACTGTCCAGCTAGAATGCCATTGTAGAGTCTAAAGAAATATCTTTATCTTCTCTGTATAATTTGTAATCTTCTAATGTCGTCTCCTCTATAAAGTTAAACCCATTATGTGACTACTGTACAACCAAAGAAGACTTTCTCATTTATAATGGGGAATGTGTTTTAGATTTCCAAAGAGGTGGGTTAACCACAGCCACAGCAAAGGTGGCAGGGACTTGTCCCAAGAATAACGCCTTTCTCTGGGAGCCAGCTTTTCTATGTCTCTTTTACTTCTTTTGAGCCTGAGCAGGCTGTCCCTGGGCCACCGCCCGTAGTAGCTTCAGGAGACACTGAGTGGTACCACGTAAGAGATCAACTCAAAGCCCCTAATTTTGTTTTAGGTGCTCCCTGGAGCCCTCCACGAGTAACACCCCGTGTCATACTGATGCATACCGATGTCTAACACACTGATGTTATAATATTCTGAGGTTAAGACATCAGCATGGCCTTTGGCTAATTTGGTTATTTGATTCTACCTCTTAAAAAATGTATTCAAAAATTAAAATTAAAAAAGCCTGTGATGATTGGTTTTAAACCACAAATATGTATCAATTTTATTAAAAAAAAAAACCGTGAAGGAAAAGGATCATGGTGGCATGGCCATCTGTGAGAGCTGGCCTCATGGAGCTGAGTGGGTGGCGTGGTCTCATCCCACTCCGTGAATGGAGCTCCTGAGGTAACGAGCATTGGTCAGAGCACGCTGGCTTCTTGCCTGAAGCACCATCTGCATTTGTGTTAGCAGCAGAGCTCTGCTTCTCTGTCCCGCATGAGGAGTGCCAGAACCACCGTGCCTCTGCGGGCGTCTCTGGTGTAATATTGCTCATCGTAAGCAGTTTCCTGTAGTTCTCCTTGTTAACGACATTCATCCAGTCAATGTTACATTCGGCCATGTTAATGATGTCCACTGTTGTCCTGGTGTTTAGAAGTTACATCTTTTCCATTCCAACACATTATCTTAATATAATATTCTATTGAATTTTGGAGACTTTCATATAATGTATTTTGATCATAGTCTCCTTAGCTGCTCCCAGATCCTCCTTTCCCATCTCCTCACCCAAACCTCATGTCCTTTTTTATGTAATAACTCACTGAGTTGAGTTCTGCCAATGTACTCATAGGGATGGGGACCATCTCCTGAAGCACGGTCACCTACCAGGAACCATACCCACTAAAGCAAACTGGCTCTTCCTTCCTTTACTAGACATCAGCTGTCACTGGTTCTTCAGCTAGGGAGTAGGGTTTGCGTGTTTCTTCCAGCTGTGTTGGACTGTTGGCTGCCTTGATCTTCTTCTCCAGTGAGCTTATGAGTGTGGTAGTCATGGTGTATTCAGAAGACACTGTTTTCCCCAGTCATCCCTGACCTCTGGCTCTTCCCTCATATTCCTCACATCTTGTGTGGAGTGGCTGCAGCTCACTATTTTTAAATACATTTAAACACATTTCCCATCTTTTAAAAGAACATTAATGTTTTTCTAATGGATGGATTTTCTTAGTGTAGTCTGTTTAATTATCTGGGTTGGGCATTAAGACGCGAGGCTTAATTTAAGGCTGCTTTGAGATTCTTTCCTTTAATCTGTAACACATTAGGATTGTGAATCTCCATTCCACCGAGCAGTACCTAGGCAGGGATTCAGCGCAGCAGATCTGGGTGTGGAGCTTGCACCACCCTCGCCTGAGGATTAGCAATGGTCATTTAGAATACCCACAACACAGACACTGTAGCAACAAGGTGGGACTCTTCTGATCTCTGGTCACTGAAGTTCCCTCCTCTCCCAGCTAAACTTCCCCTGTCATCCTGCTCCCAGACTCCTGCTAACGCTCTTGGAAATGTCCCATATCTTCACAGTAGAAGCCAAGACCCAGCGCCACAGCAGTCAGTGCTGGTGGGACATTTGATACTAATGTCATTATGACTTTCTTCCTATAGCTGAAACAATCTGGTTCTCTATTTTAAGCCTTCAGTTCTTAATTGTTTCTTCTTGAAACTGAGGAGGGTAAGCTAACCCTTAAAGGGGGGCTTTTCCACCAGGTTCCGGTGAGTCTGTAGACAGGGTGATTGTGCAGCTAGTGCCCTGTGTGTATAATTTAATAAAGATCGTGTGTTCTTTTAAGGTTTGCTTTTCCTTTTCTTTTCTTTCTTTCTTTCTTTTTTTTTTTTTTTAAAGAATCGGGATAAATGACTCCCAAACCTGTTACTTGTGCACCAACTTCACACCAGGAAGAGGGAGAGGGGGCTGGAAGCGCTTTAAACCAGTTCTGCCCCTGCCGCTTCCCCTCTCCTGAGCCCCTGCCACCTCCCCTCTCCTGAGGTTGTCCTTCGTGTTCATTCTTTTGCATTCTCTTTTGTAGTTGTGTAATGAGTTTGCTCATGGTTTGTACAATCATAATGCAAGTCTCAGGTTTTTTTGTGGTTATATAGTGCTCCGTTGTGTAGTTCCACTCTTCATGGTCACCCAGTTTGCCTGTCTAGTTTTTCAGTGCTATAAGCTATACTTGAAGGACCATCTTTCTATCGGAGTTTTCCTGAATACTGCATATCGTCTTAAGCTAAAGTCCCAGAAGTGGATACAAATGAATTCAAATATGTGGACCTGAAACCACCTTCAGATGTAAACTTTTCCCAGCACAGGAGCTCCCTGCTGCTCATGGAGCTCCCCTCCGTGGGTCTGAAGACCCCGCTGTCCTGCTTGATGTCTCATGCAGCACTGTGGCATCAGGTTTCCCTGCTCCAGGAACACTTGGCTCTGCTGCCACACAGTACCTGCTAGAGACAGCCTGACTCTGGGAATCGGTGCTGGCCCACTGTCGTGCCCCAGAGGTGGTATTTCTCCCAGCATCTCCCAACACCAGGCTCTTGCCTGGTACCACAGTTGGAGCAGTCCTTATCTGGAAGCTCCCTGTGGTGCCTCCAAGACAGCAGTCTAGTCTGTGGTTTCCTGTGAATCACATCTAGGTGTGCCAAGTCTATGGGATTGTCATAGTAGTTAGATCAAAATACACAGGCATACACTCACGTGCATGCGCGCACTTAGACACACAGACACACAGACATACACACACGTACACATGCACACACGCCGCCATCTGAAACTGCATGTGCAACATGACAGGATCAGAGGTGGCGTGTTCACCCTCCTGAAGTACGTCTTCCTTTTTCCAGGCTTCTCTCCAGTGCCTGTTCATAGCACACATGCTTTTGATTTTATAGTTCTAATCATAGCAGAGACGGTTTATTCTGCTATGCCAATTACCTGCTAACCACTTTTCCATGTTGCTATATAATTTTCGTGATTACCATTTGCTGCTTGCTTCCTATTTTGTTGAGAGAATCAATTTAACCCTTTCTTTATTCTTGGACACTATCTCCATTTTTTTTTCCTGCTGTAATGCGTATGTGTAAGAACATTCTCCAATGTGGATTAGCTGTCTTGCATGCTTATGGGAGATTTTCTTTTTGAATCTTCGAAGAAGTGGGACCCTAAAGTTATTTCCTGGCTTTTCAGGTCCTTCTGAAAAATGTGGCTAAATTATCCAGAATGGGCTCGGGTTACCCCAGCATAAAAGGTACCCATTTCATCAGAGCTTTGTGGGCATAAAGCCTTTGACAATTTTAATTCTAAGAATTTTTGACACCTTTCTCTCTTTTGCAAGAGAATACAGGGAAACCTGTAGTTTAGATGGGAATTAACATACAAGTAAAACAGCTAGACTTAAGTTCCTCTTTAGTGATCTTACCTGCAATTGTGAGGCAGGTCTGAACACCAAAGTTCTCTATGAAGTGTGTTCTAGCAAAGTCACCTTGGCCTGAACTCGGGGATGAGTGACTGACTACCCATATAATCCTTACCGTCTCTGAGCCTAATCTGCAAACTGGGGGTGATAAATATAGGCTGTTCTTTGGGCCCATTACTACTGAGAGGTACTAGGTTAAGCTCAGAGTAGTGAAAACATTTTATTTGGGCTAGAAATTTCTTGTTGACTTTTGCTTCAGAAACAGTGGCATTTAGACACTGGGATGGTCAAGCTCCTTTTCATGAGTGTAAGGGTAAATAAAGTTTGCAGACCAGAAGTATTTCAGATGAAACTTCTGTTTTATTTGTGAGTTAAGAAATTCCCGTTAAGTTGGGTTGCAGTGGTGGGGCTGGACAAGTGTTCAGCCATGGAGCTGAGCTCATAGGCCTAGTCCTGCCTGAAAGCAGCGAGGGTGACTTGTCTCAAGTCTTTGAGGGTCTTTTGCCTCTCAGTGTCTGCTCCCTTTTGGGACAGGACAGACCTTCCTCCCTTCCCTTTCTTTCTCTTCTGAGTCCAGCGAAGCTCAATCCTGACTAACTTTTAACTTCCGAATGGAGGGAGGGACTTCCCTTTTCCAGTCAGCTTGTCAGTGTAAGACCACATTCCTGTTTTCCTTCTCCGTTGTGTTACATTGTCAGAGTCGCGGCTACTTTGTGCACTCCCTGAAGTTCAGGATCTCAGAGCCTCGGGCTGCGACTCCCAGCTTGTGTTATAGAGAGAGCGCTGCAGCCCCCGAGGTCCCTGTGCTACATCTCGTTGGAGCATCCTCTGGTGGCAGTCCTCCCCAGTCCGCTTGACTGGACTCTTGGCAGGTGCTCCCGTACAAAGGGGTGGTACCTGCTGCTTCTAAGCAGAGAGGGTAGAGCCACTTCAGGAACGTCACCAAGAGCCAGAGCATGCAGGACAGTCGGCATCCGAATGCACTTCATCTGAGTTTCTCTGTGGGTTGCACCAGAGGGACGCTTTTTATTTTTTTCTGCTTTGTGAAACTTTCGTGCAGTGATTCTCAACCTTCCCAACGCTGCAACCCTTTAATACGGTTCTTCATGTTGTGGTGACCCCCAACCATAAAATTATTTTCATTGATACTTCATAACTATTTTTTTGCTACTGCTGTGAGTCGTAATGTAAATCTCTATGTTTGCTGGTGGTCTTAGGAGACCCCTGTGAAAGGCTCGTCCAACCCCCAAGGAGTCATAACCCACAGATTGAGAACCACCGCTCTAGAGGCCTTTAAGGCAGAATTAGCGTAGCCCCTTGCCGCCTTCTGCAGACTAAAACAAGGGCAATTCCATTGTTAATCTCTTCTCAGTGGTTCTAATGTTATACAAGATGGGGGTCATTTATAAAGGAGAGAGCTGTATTTTGTCTCATGTTTCTGAAGTTTAAGGATGGTATTGTTATCTGCTTGGCACCTGAGGGTGGCTTTGTGCTGCTTCAACTCTGGCAAAATACAGATGAGAGTCGTGTTAAGGGAAAGCCAGAAAGCAAGCCGAAAAGGAGACCTCACTTTTGTAGCCAACCACTCCAGTCTGATGAAAGCCATGAAGCTCTCTTAATGTCCTCATCACCCTGGAAACACTCCACAGTGACTGTCAGATTTCAGCAGGAGTCCCGAAGGGGACAAACAGGATTGTTTCTAAGGAAGGGCCCTTCTCCATCTCCTCCCTGGAGACCCTGGCTTTCTTCTTGAGCTTCGCACGGAACCTAAAGCCCTGTGCTAACAAACCAGCTTCTACACTCTCAGATCTGTTACTTGTAGCTTGTAACACAGGAGGAGGGGCTAAACGGGACAGTGGGGTCTTCAGGGACATATTGACACTCAGTCACATTTCCCCACCCACTGGGAGGAGATGATTACAGGGAACACCCTAACCAGGAAGTGTAGGAAGCTGGGACACATGGCAGGTGGTGCTTAGTCTGTGCACTAAGCCGTGGAGAGATGCTGCTGCGAGCCATCTCTTCATGGCTCCTCTGCATGCCCTTTCAACACTTTAGACAAGGTAGTTTGTAGAACAGAGTCACCTCATGGATGTTTCTCAGGAATTTCAGAGAGTTCGTACTTACTGTATTTTGGGCGTTTGTGTTAACGTGACCATTGTCTTTCCTCTTGCTGAGGCCAGGGAAGATCCCATATGTGTACAATACTTCTCTCACTAACAGGCCCGCCCACAGTAGCTTATTATGTCCTCTGCTTGGCACCAGAGCAAGCGTTTGCTTACTGGAAAGCAGGGAGCATGTGTTTGCCAGTGCTCCTGGCCTGGGTCACACATTGAAATTGCTCCTAGTCCTTTCCTCCTCTGGTTGGTCTCTCCCCACGCGCCGGAGCATGTATGTCCCCAGCAGTCCTGACGGATACACTTCTCACCCGCTCCGCATTGTCTTGCAGCCTGCAATGTTTGGTACTTGAACTCCGTGGAAATGGAGTCCCTCACTGGTCACCAGGCGGTCCAGAAAGCCCTGAGTATGACCCTGGTTCAAGAGCCTCCGCCAGTGTCCACAGTGGTACACTTCAAGGTGTCAGCCCAGGGCATCACCCTGACTGACAACCAGAGAAAGTAAGTGTGGGTGGGAGGAGTGTGGAGGCCTGAGGTCTCCTTCCCAGTGTCCTTCTCAGTTATTTTCTGTTCTTTTCTTTGAGACAGAGTCGCTTAGTAAGCCTGGGACTCGCTGTGAGCTCCAGGGATCTGCTCAAAGCCATGCTGTTCCCCCAGTCCGTCCAGTGCTAGAGTTAGAACTCATACCAGCACACCCAGCTCTTACGTTGGTACTGAGGATCTGAACTCGGGTTCTCATGACTGCTCTGCAAATGCTACCCATGAGCCAGCTCTCTAGCTCCTAGGCTATTTTCTTTTAAGTTTTTTTTTTTTTGTTGTTGTTGTTGTTTTAAAAAGACCTTTTAAGTTATTGCCTTAAAACCATTGAGATGGACCAGAATCTACTGGCTTCTGTTTTGGCATAACTACTTCCATAGCTGGTGGGCAGCTCATGTTGGTCAAAGGAACACAGTGTGGTACAGGAGCTTTTGTGGCAAATGCAAGGGACAGAGCCCAGGCCATCCTGAGCCCTCAGTGGTAGCCTCCCTGCAGGCCCGCACGCCTGCAGTGCCTTCCCCAGAGCCAGTTCTTTCAGTGAGATCTTGTCTTCTTCCTATTTTGCTGAATAGTTTGAATATAGACTCTTACACCTGCCATTTCAGGATGGTGCAGTTGGGGTAAGAGCAGGACCACAGAGTAGAGTCTGGCTTTGCTCGTCAGTGCTTCTCCCTGCATTTGCAACAGGAGACCTTGAGCAAACTCCTTACCTCTCTGATGTTTGGTTTCTTTTTTTCTTCTTTTATACCTATGTCAAAACACCTACCTCAGGGTTTAGTGACTTGGAGAGTGCAGAGAGCACGTGCCATGCATGGTGCTGTTGACCTGAGCTCAGCCTTGGGAGAGCCAGGAGGTTCAGAGGTCCTGAGCTGCCTTCTGTGTTGCATCACTGGCCCTTCCAGTTCCTCAGAACTCCTTGGCCCCTCCTGACCTTCCCAGTGATTGACACCATCACTCTTGGGGGTGCTTCTGTTGTCCCCTTGCGAGAACCGTTCTGCCCAGTGTCGGGCTGTTGACCGTTCTTCTCCCCAAATGACGAGTAAAGGCATCAAATAGTTCCCACTTCACAGTCATCCCACTGGGGAGTGGGGGACTCCTCAGCCCACCTTCCATCATCCCAGAGCCCTATGACTGGAGCTCCCCTCTCTCTCTACCCCCCAACAGGCTCTTCTTCAGGAGGCATTACCCCGTGAGCAGTGTCATTTTCTGTGCCTTGGACCCACAGGACAGAAAGTAAGAATTTTCCATTTTTATCACCAAAAAGTATGCTTTCATCCTTTAATTTTAAAACGTTAACATGAATTCTGTTTCTCTTCAATTCCCAAGGTGGATCAAAGATGGCCCGTCCTCTAAGTAAGTCTCCAGCATCTCTTCTCTTTCTGAGGATAATCACAGTGCAGAATGAGCTCAGGTCTAGATTTGCAAAGAAGGCCTCATTTAAAAGACCAAACAAAACAAAGCAGTCATTGTCAATGGGGATGTTTGTTTGGGTTAAACTGAAAGCAGAAAAATAAGGATAAGTGTTCAGATTTTGAAGTACAGGCCTGGACCGTGTTGGCTTATCCCCTGTGGTGGGATGGATATGACTGTCTATATTATATCTGTAGTGTCCTTTTGCATACACACTGAGACAGATTTCTTTTTTAATTTATTTATTTATTATGTATACAGTGTTCTGTCTGCATGCTGTCTGCATTATGACTGCAGGCTGGAAGAGGGTACCAGATCTCATTAATTGTGAGCCACCATGTGGCTTTTGGGAATTGAACTCAGGACGTTTGGAAGATCAGGCTGTGCTCTTAATCTCTTGAGTTATCTCTGCAGCCCCTAAGATCTCTTAATGCAGCCATTTAAGAGGGTGCCCCTACTGCTGAGGCGCCCAGACTGTGTGTGTGAGCAGGACTGAAATCTGTGCCTGATTTTTCCCAAACTCGAAGGATTATGTTTTGCACCTCTGGCCGGCAAGTTCTGATTCCCTGCTCAGCATTGCTGTTCAGGTGATCAGGAGAGCCTAGTCCTCACCCCACTACAGAGGCTTCCCTGTGCCCCCCAGATTGGCTTCCTCTGCATAGTCTGCCCTGCTGATCTCCAGTGGCCATCACATGCCTCCTTCCTCGCAGGCTCATTTCAGAGTGTTTCGTGCTCTGGAGAACTGATCAGGAGTAGCAGACAGCTGCAGCTTCCGGAAGTGATCATAGTCTCGCAGGCCTGAGAGGAATTCTTGGCATATTAGCCTTCTGGGTTGGGTGTCTGGTCTAGGCAGGTTCTGGGAGCTTCTGGCATTCTTCCTAGAATTCCTAAGGCCTTGAAGTTCCAGGGGAGACCCTGATTTTGCATGGCCAGCTGGAGCTCAGGACCCTGTAGAAGGTGTCTGGAAGACCTCCAGCCCTCTAGAAGAGATGCTAAGGAGCAAGCAAGGCCTCAGCTTTTATTTAGGGTGGGGTAGCATTCCTCTAGGCTCAGTACTCATTCTCCCTGCAGTTTCCAAGGACCAGAGGTCAGGGTGGTGGATAGGTCTCCAAGCTAGTGCTTGGCACATCATAGGCTTCTGTAGGTGCACTTGCTATTGCTCCCCGGTTGCTGTTTTGTGAAAGTGAGATCCTGCATGCATTTGTGGGTGCTACATGCGTGGTTCATGCATTTGTGGGCACTGCCCGTGTGGTTCATGCGTGTGCAGTGCATGCACATGTGGTGCATGCATATGTGGTTCATGCATTTGTGAGTGCTGCGTGTGTGGTGCATGCATGTCTGCTGCTGCACACTTCTGGCTACTCTGACCTATTCTTGTCTCTTGCAGAGTCTTTGGATTTGTGGCCAGGAAGCAGGGCAGTGCTACAGACAACGTATGCCACCTGTTCGCAGAGCATGACCCCGAGCAGCCTGCCAGTGCCATTGTCAACTTTGTGTCAAAGGTCATGATTGGCTCCCCTAAGAAGATCTAAGTCCCTCATAGCCAAGCCCGCCAGATGCCTCATGAGGCCCTCGAAATGGCAGTGGGGTTAGGCGGGGCCCCCAATTGTACCAGACTGAAAATTCTCACATTCCAGACCCAAGAGGGGAGAATATGGCAGCTCTTCAAACCAGGAACAAACAACATCACTACAGATTGGCCTTTCCTGAGAGTAACTTCTCATCTGACACACCCATATAGTCGGGCGCATTTTGAATGGAAGGATCTTGGGCCAGGAAATGGTTCCCCAGTGTCCCACGGGCAAGGGCTATACAAGGAGAGAATACAGAAGACAAGGTGGCCTCGAGTCCCTGGCTCACTGGCATCTGTGTGGATGAGGAGCACCCAGCCTGCGTGGCAGGGGCTGAGTAACCATGCTGCCCACTTCTCGGCAGATGTGCTCTGTCCAGCGACTCCCTCATCTTGTCTTTCTGCAGCAGACGATGATGAAGCTGAGGAGGGCATGCATGGTTGGGGAAGGTGCGTGCAGGTTGGACCGTGGTGGGAATCTAAGTTAGGAACAGTGGAAAGGCTGTGAATTGAGAGCAGCGGCAGCCTCTGGTGTCGGGGAGGAGCATGCAATGCCAGAGACACTCCGTGATCCTGCTCGCAGGTGGCCAGCCGGGCTGTGGAGAGCCTAGAGGACCTTGAGAGGAAAGCGAGAAGCCGGAATCAAAACCGCCATTGTGTGTAATTTATATTTTACTCATGCCAAATTATTTATAACCACTTGCCATTGCCGTACGGTACCCATGTCAAATGCTGCAGCCGACTAAGCTGTGATTGCTAGAAGGCTTGTCCCCTTGTAGACACACCAGAGACGACTGTCTCTTCCCCAAGGAGCGGCTGAGTAGTGGTCCCAGGGCGACACCGCCCGGTTCTTCTTCCGCAGAACTGCCCAACAGTTTTGCCTCAAGCAGCCCACCCTCTGTTTGCACAGCGCTATGTCTTGCCCAGATGTGGATGATTTCTTTCCTGAAGGGAATGTCGAGGAGGAATGGGACACGAAGACACCAGGGTCATTCTCCGTCTCCTCCGCAAGACTGGCCGGGCCGTCTCCAGGCCTGCGTGATCTAAAGCGCGTATGTGGCATTTCTAAGCTGTTACCGTGATTCTCCTCGTGGCTCCTGCAGCTTCTGTGGGGACCTTTGTGGATGTCAGGAGGGAGAGAAGGGGGATGAAGAGAAATTCTAACTCTCCCAGGCTAGCTTTGATTCGCTGGGTCATCTTAGCCACTGAGTCATCAGCTCGTGCTAAGATTGGCGGCCTAGGGTTGCAGGCTTCCTGACTGCTCCTCCCAGTGGTCAGAGATTTTTGAAGAAGCCCGTGAGCTTGACACTTCCCAGAGTGGAGGGCAGCAGAGCTACGTGGAGGCAAAGCCAGGATCTCCTTCTTGCTGAACTCTACACCCCAGGAAGGCTCTGATCGTCCCCATTCCAGCCTGAAAGTCTCACTCCGTGATTTCTAAAATCCACTGCCTGATGGCGCATCTGGTGGCTGGCATGGGCCACTGCTGTCAGGCTTGGGTTTGGAAATCTACGTAGTGGATTCTCTGTTTTAAAAGGAGCAGAGATGTAGCTACATGTAGAATTGAAATCAACTCTATCAGTATGGTGTGTGTGTGTGTGTGTGTATGGTGTGTGTGTATGTGTGTGCACAGATGGACCATTCCACTTTTAACTCCTATGTGTGTCTGTGCGTGTATACAGGTGGACTGTTCCACTTTTAGCTCCTGTGTGTGTCTGTGCGTGTATACAGGTGGACCGTTCCACTTTTTAGCTCCTATTGATGGGCCAAAAGCAAGTGCCTCGTTTCTGTGCCAAATATTTGCCTTGGTCTTTGCGGACCTCCTTCGTGGACACACTTGGATTCAGTGCCTGATTGGGGGAATGCGCCTTCATTCCCTAGAGGCCCTTTGTCTTCCACAGAGGCTTCTAGTGTTTCAGTTACTCATATGCAGCTAAAAATCCAGATTGGGGTAGCGGTGGGGGTGGGGGGCTGAAGTTTGTGCTTTGGCCAAGAAGTGCCATGCCCTGTGGTGGTTTATATGCAAATGTGACCCAAAGACCATAGGCCAGGTTCCTTCTGATGGAGGGGGGAGAGGGCTTAGTTAGAAATCAGCAGGCCAGAGCTGAAGCAAGCCTAATTAATGGGAGGTGTTAGGGCTTCCCACAGTGGTCAGCATGGAAAGCATCCAAGAAGCCTTATAAATGTGCTTTGGAAACTGACTGGCCAGGTGTGACCTTTACTCACGTTAAAAGTGGTCAGGGGTATCATGGAATTTGCTCTGAGGAACCGCAGGAAGACAGCTTCACAAGCTGGTAGGCCTTGGTTCTGTCTTCTGCGTGTAGCGTGTATTGAATGGAATAAGATGAGACGCAACACCATAGACTATACTGTGTGCTCAGAAACACTGGGAAAGGGTATTGTTCAGGCGTCAGTTGGGCACGAATTAGTACACTATTCTGGGAGTAAATTCAGTGATGCCCCACCACTTTTAATAGATAGCCAGGGTCCCGTTAACCTTCTCATTAATGGTCTTATAGTCTCCAGTGTTGGGCTGTACTCATGTTAGAAGCCACACTGCATTTATCCTCAGTGTCAAAGACATTGTAATGTTGCCTTATCTGTTAGCGCAGTCTTCACCATTCTATATTGTAAAGAATATATATCCAGTATGTAAATGAGTGTTCTATAAACCTTTTGTATAGGCGTTTTCTCTGCTCTTTAAATATCAGCCTTATTCAGAGTATAATAAAAATTATGACCTTGGTAAGCCTAATGAAACAGATGTCTTGTTTGGTTTGTATAAGTCTTCTGTGCGTATGTGTGTGTGTGTGAATGTGGGTGAATGGGTGCCTTCCACGTGTTGGGTGTAAAGACCAGAAGACAAATTGGTTGTGAGTCCTCAACTCCACGCTTGTTTAAAGCAGTCTCTTTTTGTTTGGCACATAGGCCAGGCTATGTGGCAAACTTCATTTGGCCATGGGAGCACCGGGATCATGGACGCCACGCCAGCTTCACGTGGCTTCTGGGGATTTGAAGTCAAGTTCTCAAGCTTGTGTGACAAGTATTTCCTCCCACTGAGCCATCTGGCTTCCTCAATGATCACGTTTATGCCCCGGGCTGTATGCTGAGTCTGTGCGTGTGTTGTGTGTGTGTCTGCGCTTGTGTGTGAGTACGTTTGCACGTACATGGACTCACTGAGTCCGTTTTCACGTACTGCCTGCCGGGGTTTGTATTTGGGTTTTTGTTTTGTCTTTTCTGGTGTCTGTTTTGTGAGTCACTGCGCTCAACTTCCTACTTACATGTTCTGCTTCTGAGAACATAGTTTAGGATGGCTCTCCAAAGGCCTTGGGAAAATTATATTCGAATTATTTTTAAGTTGTCAGGCAAGGTACGGTGGCCCACACTTGCAGTGCTAGCACTTGGGAGACAGAGAAAGGAAGATGGCCACGTGTCAAGGACAGCCAGTGGTGCACAGCAAGACCTTGTCACAAACATGAACAGTAAGATGTGAAACACGCCTGCAATCTTGGGACTCGGGAGGTTAATAAAGGAGTTTACTGTGAGTTCGAGGCAGCTGTGGGTTGCATGATGAGCTCCAGACCAGCCTGGGCTACAAAATGGGTGTCCTCTGGAAACCCAGATATCTTTGAAGAAGTGATAGCAGTGGCTGGTGGAGTCGCTCAGGGAAAAGCCTTGCTGTGCAAGTGTAATGGCCTGAGCTCAGTTCCTGGGAACTACGGTGCAAAGGAGAGCCAATTAGCTCCTGAAGCTGTTTTTCTGACCCCCACACCCGTGTTCACACAGTACAGCAATAACCAGCATCTTTACAGAACTGATAGCTGAGTGCAGGCATGGTGGTGCTGGGGTGTTTCAGTGCCCCGCAGTTACAGCCCAGCCACATGCTGGCCCCATGGAAAGACTCTAAGGTATGGCTGCCTACAGTCTGAACATTGAGTTTGGAGTAGCCAGGCCACCCGGCCCTGCATAACCCTCAGCATTCCTGCGCCTTCCATGGACTGGATCTCCTGGCTTTCTGCTCCCTTGGGCTGACCCCATCCTGAGTCAGGGGTCAGGGGTGAGGAACAAGGTCCGTTGCAAACCTGCTAATCTAAACCTGAAAAGAAGGGCTGCTTCAGGCCCTGGCTGATGATGAAGAGACTCCTAAATGCAACTAGCAGCCGCTGTGTGGCTCACGTTTCCATGTTGTTGTCCTCCTGCGCTTCTAATGACATTCGTCCCATACCATCTTCCTACACATACTGCAGGAAGGTGGGCTTGACAGGATGCAGATGTTGGTTTCCTAACCGAGTGCAGACAGTGGCAGGTTCAGTCTCAACAGGAAACAGCCAGGGGATCCCTTGCCGCCAGTCACTGACTGTCTCTTAACCAAGGTCCCAACAGGGTATGAACATGAGTCGTGCAGATGTAAAGATCACTTACTGAACGCAACGCCTAGGCACCCTGGGTGCTCATCACGATGGCGGGGCTTGTAGAATAAACTTGCTCATGTTTCAAAGCCTCTGGTCACAGGGGATCCAGCCTGGTAGACTGGTAGGAGTTGCAGTTCGTACCTCAGCACTGCCTGGGCTCTCACTACCTATACCTCAGGCTAGTCTAGTGTGCCGTAGACACTCAGAACCACCATGCTGAGGACGCAAGGCCACAGCTGCTGTGTGTCATCCCAGAGGTTTCGAGTGACCGGCCGCAAGAGAGTTCCAATGGCCTTGGGAAAAATCTCTTGAGACAGAATGGAGACTTGCTGGGCAAGTCTCAGAGGATGAACTGAAGTTGCTTGAGAGAATGTGGATCCTGGGACATTGCCAGATAGGATGTTGTGGTGCCGCAGAAATTGACCATATCTGGACACATTGGCTAACAGGTATTTTGAGCTAGCTAACAAAAATGACCCACAAATGACAATAAAGTTACCAAAAATCAGAGGCTGTTCTGAAACCTATTTAGAGGCAGTTAGAGTGTGAGCTCAAAAAAGTGACCAAGATGTGGCTCCTTCCCAGAGACTACCAGGTGGTTGGGAGATTCAGTGAGGGCCCCATGCTGAGAGCACCCAGCCTTACCAGGGAAATACTCTTTCCCATAGGCAAGGGAAATTACCACAGTAAATGCCACCCAAAGATAGCCACTCCCTGCATGGGCCTGAGGTGTCCCTCTCCCATCTACAGATTCCCCTCTGTCCCTCTGCCAGTCCAGGGGGTGGGAGTGGGGCAAGGATTCTAGATAAATAGCAAATCAGCACGCTGGAAAGTCAGGCTGGTGGAACTGAGTGGACCCACAGCCCACAGAGCAGGCCCTTGCCTACCTGCTCACTCAGCCTAACAACAGCGGCGGCGCTGTCTCCTGAAATAAAAGATTCAAGACTCAAGTTTTCTGGGCTCATGGGTAATAGGCAATATGTCTGAAATACGACGGAAAATTACCTGCCATACCAGGAAATGCTCGGCATGGCTGAGGAAGATTATGCTAATGTCAGGATGCACCAGAGGCTAGATTTCAAAGCGGTCATAAAAACGCTTCAACAAACAAATACACATTGCCTTGAAGGAAAAACTTAGATACCTCCGCCTACAGGAAACAAGGGCTACAGACTTAGAGAAATGCTGGTGGAAATTGAAAACCAAATCTAGGAGGCTGGGGCAATGGTTCAGCCAGTGAGGCACTTATCTGCAGGTGTAAGAACCTGCATTTGAGCCACAGAAATTCATGTAAACATGGTGGATATGGCGGCACTCATTTGTAATGCTAGCATTGGGCTCACATTGCTAGCATTGGGCTAACATTACAAATGCTCCTTTCTCAACAGGAGATTACCAGCAGCATGTTAGCTGGCCAGTCTGGACTGCCTGGTGAGCTCCAGGCCAATTCTTATTCTTAGGAGACCCTGTTGCAGAGGAAGTGAATGGTGATCCTGAGGATGCCATGGGAGGCGGTTCTCCAACCTACACACACACACACACACACACACACACACTTTCTAGGTATGTTTGCCAGCAAAGTGAATATGACAAGACAGAATTCGTGAACTTACTGACACCAGTAAAATTCATGCAGACTGACCTAGATAGATAGATAGATGATAGATAGATAGATAGATAGATAGATAGATAGAAGCAAGCAAGCTTCAGGCATGGGGACCTGCAGACACTAGCCAAAACTCCAGCATATAGGTCACTGGAGCACTTGAAGGAGAGGAGACGCAGAGAGATACTAAGCAGCGTTTTAAGGAAATGGTAGCCCCACACTCCCCAGTCTGGAGACAAAATTTAGATTTATAGATACATGAAGCCAACTAAATAGTATCAACCAAATTCCACACTGCAGGCTGAGGGAAATATGTCAGACACACACAATAAATACTATCTCTTGATTTCATTTCCTTGCAAAATCTAAAAGATGCAGAGACACAGAGGAGTAGGGAATGGACCAAATATATTGAGATGGACATTAGTTATTGTAGGGGAGGAGGAAATGGTAGTTAAGGTTCTGGAAACTCCACATAGCAGATGGCTGAGTGCTGGAGCAGAGCATGTGGCTGTTGGGTCGTCACCGTGCTCCGTGATCAGATTTTCGCCAAATGAGTGGATTGTGGCTGATCCTCAAACCCTGAGATGGTGAGTATATTAACCTGCTTCTTCCTACTGGTCACTGTAGCTCATCCACATGCACCTTGAATGTGCACAATACATTTTACTTTGAAAACTCTTCACAAGCAATACAAACTTCTGAAAACTAAAGATAAGAAAGCAGTCCTGTCGGTGGCCTTTGAGACATACAAACTCAAATAGCAGTGAGGCTGGATCAAGCCGTGAAAGAACAAACTTTTTGAAGGTTCAAGGAATACAAAATGGACTGGAGTTTTTATTTATTTTTTTTTAAGGGAGAGGGTCCCGTTTAGGCCACGCTGGCCTCAAACTCACTATATTGGGATGAACAGGTGTGAACTGCCATTCCAGGCTTCCGTTCATTGTGACTTTTTGTTGTTGTTTGTTTGTTTGTGTTTTGTTTAGTTTTTGAGTCGAGGTCCTGGAACTTGCTCTGTAGTCCAGGCTAGCCTCAAACTCACAGAGAACTGCCAGCACTGCCCGACTCAGTTGTGACTTCTCAGTTTCATTCTAGGTTGAATGGAAGTGTTTTCTGAGGGTAAAGGAAGATCGAGGTGCTCTGGGGAAAAGAGAAAGGTTCTGACATACTGGCAAGCCTGCGGCTCTGGTTTGCTCTTTGTTGCTGTGGTAAGCACCGTAGAAAAAGGAGCCTGCAGATCAAAGGGTTTATTTCAGCCACGGGTTACAGTGCCTCATGCAGTGAAGCCAGGCTCTAGCAGGAACTGAAGCGGACGGAGGCCATGCTTACTGCCTTGCTCCCCGTGGCTTGCTCAGCCGGATTTTTCAATTCACACTAGGACCACCTCTTAAGGTGTGGTACTGCCCACCGTGGGCTGGGTCCTCTTTCCCACATCAATCGTTAATTAAGAGAATTAATGCCCCACAAACATGCCCACAGGCGTGTCTGATGGAAGCAGCTTTCCAGTTGAGGTTCCCTGTTCCCAGGTTCGTATCAAGTAGACAGAAGCTAACCAGTGCACCAGCAGTTGAAGACTGACAACCGCAGAAAGGAGAAGAAAGAGAGTGGGTGCCGCAGGAAAGGAGGCTAAGCTACCGTGCGTGCAAATACAGTGTGGCCATGGCCACCATTTCCTCACGGCTCCTATAATTAATATTTGATAACTGACAGGAAACTTTCAATATTGTCTGA